TGGTGGAGATCGTGTAAACTGATATAGATATATATATATATACATACATATACATATATATATATGGAGACTGAAGAGCAGCAGTTATTGCACACTGCAACTGTTCCTTATTGGAAGCTTTGCTGGACAGTTCCACTATCTCTCTCACAAGCGTCTGCAAAAACACGGCAAGTGCCTCTTTCCGGAGCCCACATGCGTGCGCGCGTTGCATGCTCAAGCATCAACCTAAATCCCGGAACGGCTTTGCTTGAAATGCAAGTGGCCACGGCAACAGTGAGTGAGTATGCCAATCGCTTGCGAATCAAGCTTATCGGGATTGTGCCCTTGGGCTGCGATCGAAGGAAAAGCAACTTGCAGGCCTTTAAAGATAACCATCTTGCCAACGCTGAGGAAGAGCCAATATGGGAATACCTGTCAGTTGTTGTAGGATAGAAGTCACCTCGCCGTTACAATGTCATCTCGACGATCTCATGAAACCCCGCGCTCCGCGGCTCTCTGACTTGCAGGAGATCAGAGAAGGGAAGCGTAAGTCGCAGTTAGCGGAGGAACGTGGCGAACGCCTCAAGGCGCTCGAGGACAGGGTGATTTTTCCAGACTGGCTCCTCAAGTCTAGGGGCATGCTCCTGCAAACGAAATCAGAGCTGGAGTGAGTAGAGTGCTTTGCTAACCGCGAGACTGACTTGCCAACGAAGTTTTAAACCCATGTTGAAGGAGCCGGCCATCGGCTTGCGCTTCATGCCCGACCGCCGGGCAGAGCAACTCATCCAGGAAGAAACCACGAAGTTGCATGACGAGGCCGTGGCAAACCGACACCAGCAACGGGCCGAGGCGTGCAAACACCATATTTTGCATAATCTAGACTATAGAGTACTAAGTGTCAGGTGCAATGAAGGCTCCGAGACTACATCGTCATATTTGCCCCTTCCTGAAGTAGGTGATGCGTCTGGCACGGGATGGCCTCCGCACAGCACGGAGCCAGCGCTTGGCCCTGGAAATGCATGAGGACGAGGTACGACTGGGCGGCGTTTCCTGCGCCAGAGGTGAAGGGCTTTGAAATAGTTGCTAGAGCGTGTATGTTTTTAAGTTGTTCAGCAAATGATCTGTGCGAATCTGTGAATAATATCTTGGGATGAACTAGAGCATCTATGAGCGATCCCAAAAGGCCAACCTCAAAGACCCGAGCTGGTGCCTTCCACCGTCTTCGCGCCTCGTTCGAGATGGACGACCGCCTTTTGGTTTCGTCGGGTTTCGTGTTTTGCTTCTGGAAGCATGTTTACCGGCCACGAAATGTCTTGTTCACGTGACATGTCACCACTAGAGTTCAGACTGCAAGGAGCAAGTCCCAAGGTAGACATCCCTCATCATCTGACAGTGCTGCGCACCATGCTTATTGATTGGCTTCTACAGAGGCATTTGCTGCTGATTGGAAACCAGGGAGTTGGCAAGAACAAGCTGGCAGATCGTTTTCTGAGCATGCTCCGGCTGGAAAGGGAATACTTGCAGCTGCACCGCGACACAACGGTTCAATCCTTGACAACACAGCCGATTCTCCAGAACGGTGTCGTGGAGTACCAAGATTCACCCCTAGTGTCCGCCGTGCGGCACGGGCGAGTGTTGGTCATTGACGAAGCAGACAAGGCCCCTCTGGAAGTTGTTTGCATACTCAAAAGCCTTGCAGAAGATGGCGAGTTCACGCTTGGAGACGGGAGGACGATTATGGCACGGGAGCGCATTCCTGAACCGCCCTCGCAGCTACACGAGCAGCATCTCCTCCCTATCTCACCGGGCTTCCGCATGATTGTCCTGGCCAACAGACCGGGCTACCCCTTCTTGGGCAACGATTTCTATCGAGAGTGCGGGGACGTCTTCGCCACACATGCTGTCGAGAACCCAGACATCACCTCTGAAGTCGAACTCCTTCGGAGCTACGGGCCTTCAGTACCGCAGGCAGGTCGTTTAACAAAGTCCTGCATGACTCGACCACGTCCACAGTCCGCCTTTAGTGTTTGGAAAGGACTCATGACGTTGCTATGCTGCTAGCAGGAAGGGGAAGTATCGAAGGGTGTCTTCCAGAGCTGTTCGGAAATCTACGTCGGATTGTCGAGATCGTGTCCCGGTTTACGAGATCTTGAACCCTCGAACAGCGTTGAAACAATTGGGTCAAGCCCTCCTGGATTACGTCCCCGGCCGGCCGCTCGGCTTTGGGCCAAGATCTTCGATAGTCGAGTTTGCGGTCCCGCAGGGCTTGCTGCACCCAGCAGGGTTGAAAGAACTTTGGCTTTGTGATTTGTTGTGCAGTGCTTTCAAAGTCCAGCACCGTCCAACCAGGGGTGGGGGGTCCATTTCGTGGCTTCTCTACAAACTAACCCTGGCTTCGTGCCATGCATCCTCCCAGAATGTGTGAGGCTCAGTTCTAAGCTTAGTAGCTCAGCTTGGGAAGATTCACGTTCTCGTGAACTTGGACATCAAGCTGGTTGTTTGAATCATTTGGCCGGCGAGTTTGACAAGAGTGGGAGTTCTTGAAAGGGAACCTGCGCATAGCTCTGATGCTTTACACTCTGGATGGCTATTCGGTTATCCCGTTATCCCCCAGTGTTTGGTGTCGGCAGCATCCGAAGGAGCATCTCGTCCGCTTGCTGGGGCTTTTTGCCGAGTTGAGGCACTTGGTGGAGGAGCGGGAGAACAACAGAACACTCTTGTCTTTGTTGTCTTCTGGTGAATGATCGGATTGGGCAGCTGAGCTGTTCTCAAGTTTCAAGTTCGGACCATGTAGCCCTACCACCCCCCCGTCCACTGCCGCCAGCTATAAGCAGCTGGAGCTATGCTCCTGCACCACCGCTGCTACCACCACCAGCCCAAGACAATGACTGCTACTGCTACTGCTAACCCACCACTGCTAACGACCACCACTACAAATATCGCTACTAGTAGCACTGCCACATCTAACGCTGTAGCTCAACCACCCGCCGCATCGTCCGAAAGAGAAAGCTTGAAAAGAATTAGAAAAGGAATCTTAAACCTTCACTTAATCTGCTCCAACACATACACTTCAGCATTGTCTCAGCTTCTGGCAAAGTTCGTTGCTGTTCTGTTTGCAGGAAGGCGTGCTTTCTTATCCATACTCGAGCCGCGAGCTGGTTCGCATCGTGCGACATCTTGAGGCTCGGAGCATGTAGCCCATTCTAAGTTCTTAATCAAAAAACAGCCTAATGCCCAGCAATAGACATTCAGGCAAGCTTGTTTATCCAGTTCACCACGTTGTGCCAAGCACTATTGTTAGCTAGCGAAGCGTGGCCGAGCGCATACTTGCATGAAGCGTCCACCTACGCAAGCTGATCTGATGGATGTCCGGCAGAAAAGGCTACGGGCGCTACAATAACTCCACGAGAGCTCTAAGATCAAGATCGGCACTCGTCCTTCGTCTCTAGCGGAGCTGATGATGGTCTGTTGGGTTGAGTGTGGCACGTGCTGACTCAAGTGGCGCAAGCCTTTCACAGCAGTTGCTGTCGTTCAAGGGTGCGGCCTACAGAGCAAGGTATCATGATGTATTATGGCACCTCCAGGCATGTATTCAATCACAGCAATGAACATAGATGACGGGCAGGCAAACATCAACTCAACCTCGCTACAACAACTGCTTGCATGTGTCTCGGGGTGGTTGACCATCCCTCTGAGGAGAGCTTCCCAGATGACCCAATTGAGGAGGTGTTTGCGGATGTCTTCGAATTTGACTGGCACGATTTGAAGTTGCGGGAGACTCTTTCGGGAGTGTTGAATCTTGGCTGCGCAGTGGCAGCACATGGCCTACTAGTAGCTCTTGAGTTGGTTTTCGAAGCATGCACCACGCACAAAGCTTCGCGTTGTCGGGACAGGACCAGGATCATGGCAACCACTTCCGCACGTGATCAAACATATGCATGTCCATGTAGTAGATTTCCGAAGCTCCTGTGCCAAGGAATGGCTGTGGATTCAGCTTCGACCCAACCTCCAAGTCCAAGCCCATGAAGCACGGCAACCCCAACAGACGTTTACCGAAGGAGCTGGGGGTCTTTCTTTCTCGAAGTTTAGTTCGCTTCGGTGCGAGTATGACATGAGGTGTGATGTTGCGATGGATTGCAGATTCATCTAGCAAGCCCAGCGCATTCCACACGCATGTCAAAATCCTGTAGGAGTAGAGACTAAGAAGTATGCCAGCATGATCAAACCTGATTCCCGAAGCTTCCCCATGTCCAAACCTTTTTGCAACGTTTGCGTGTAGCATTATTGAATGACACGTGGGCCTCCTAGCCTACCAGTCTACTTACGTTGCATTCTTCCTGAAATGTGGCTCCAGAACGTTTGACCCACCCATAAGCTTGCAGCCTGTGAATGTTCCTGCTGGCATCCGTGAGGATTTCAAGTCTGCAAAGCACTATGACTCTGGAGAGAACGCCGACACTTGCTTTTTCGTGTGCACTGCAGTTTGTTTTGAAGGAAGGCTTAAAAAGCCGAAGAGAGCAGGGGTACCAGCAGTGAGCGTTTCGGAAGTTGAGCGTTGCTGCACCTACAACAGATAAAGGAAGTGCTACGAGCCATAGGCACGACACTAATCGGAGGATGGTTGAAACATGAGAGAGATGCCAGCGAGCCGCAGCACGAGCACACGAAGACACACGGGACGATGACACAGAACACACGAACCGGGACAATAAGAACATGAGACACGGCGCGAACATGCGCGAACACTAGATGTCGGACAGAGGGATCGAAGCGGCAGAGCACACGAGAACATGATAGGACATGTCACCGTGTCTGCTTGCCGTGTAGTGCAACTCGCTGCACGGAGTGACATGTACGAGCGACAGCAGCAAGTTCTCACGCAGCTGCTGGTCGCTCGAAGATTCCTTTCAGCTTTTCGCATAGCTTCGCCTCGTCCCGCAAGCCATGTCCGGATCCGGCGCTGGAAGTTCTGGTGACGCGCCTTCGCAACCGCCGCAGCCAGACTTCCGCACGGCGGCAATGGTTTTCCAGGGGCTGGGAAGCTTGAGCGATGACGACATCCGCGTGTTCCTGAGGGCGGCTGGTGTGAAGTCGTCGCGGAGGATGCTGGGTTTGTGCCACAGCGTCTTGCTGGGGCTGGATGGCCACTATCGCGCGAGGATTCAAGCTCGCGATGCGATTCTGCAGCAGCATCACCCCGGCGCTTCGATGACTACACCATCGCCCTCGCCTTCGCCCGCACCTGGTTTGGGGCCGACCAGCAAGCAAGCGACCAAGGGAGTCGGCAAGACAGCCAGGCCTAAGGACCCCGCTCCGCAGGCGCAGCCAGGATCGTCCTCTACCCGCACCACGCCTCCCCCTACGACGGCACGGACGACTACTCCCTCGGCGAGCACGACCGGAAGCGCGGCTGGAGCAGCCACGGGTAAGGCGGCTACGGCGGCAGTGCCAAGGAAGACGCCGCCCGCTAAGCCTTCGCTGCCTGGCACGGTGAAGCCTGGTGTGGTGGCTCAGATTGGGAAGCGCCCGCCGGTGGTGCCGCCCGACCCTGCATTGGCGGCTTGCTTCGCTACGCCCTTCGAGGACACCACCGCGCAGGACTTGGAGCTCATGGTTGAGCCGCCCGCCGTCGCAGCCAAGGCCAAGGCCTCGCCGGAGACGCAGCAGTCACCCGACACGTCACTGGCCTACCTCGACTTGATCGTGCCGGACCTCGAAGACCACATGTCGATGTCCCCCGCGCCGCAGGTGTTCCCGCCAGTGCCGACCACACCTCTTTCGAGTGAGTCCGAGGAGCGCCAGGGGGACCTGATCGACTTGGATAGTGACCCGGAGGATGACGAGCCGGCCACCGTGACGCCGTGGCCCCGCGACGACGAGGAGGACGACGACGCAGGGCCGTCTGCCCCCGCCCCGCAGGCAGCCGCAATGGAGACGCAGACCGAGCCGGGAGCCGGGGACTTCGTCAATAGCCACGGCGGGGCCGGGCTCAGCCGCCGCCGCGCAGACTGCCTCCGCAGGGGACCCACAGGCAGACAGCGCACCCTTGCCGCCAGCCAAGTTCCCGACATCTGGCGGCTCGCGAACAGCGCAGGGCGGAGCGCCGCGCCAACAACCGCGCAGACCAGGAGGCGGCAGCAGTGGCACAATGGGCGGGGTACCCGGATCCCTGCAATGTCTTGCAGAACGAGACGAACAGTATTTGGACATTGCCGCCAGGGGTCCCGCCACAGCCAGTGCCCTCGCGCCACGCGGACGCACACGTCCAAGGTTATTGTAACCTCGGGTGTGAAACCCCGAAGCGCCTTCGCACGAACGTGTGTTTAGGCCGCTGCTTCAGGCCCATTATACAGACCCGGGCCGGTACAGTACACAAGCACCACTTTTGCTCCCCGTGCGACCGCGCACGCACCGCTCGCGATCGCTGACCTCAACCAGGAGGGGGGAGCCGCAAGGTGCCTTTTTGAGATCTTCCTTCTTCGCCTCGCCGCGCGCCAGCAAAAAGGAGGGACCGAGTGTTCGTGATGACCCGCTCCCCCGGCCCTAACCCACAGGAGGGAGTGCGAGCTGATACTCCCCTCGCGCAGGCTAGGTCTTTTCTCGCGTTGTCTCTCTTTCTCAAGCCGAAGCCGAGCTGACAGGAGTGCCTCTTCTCGCGCATTAGGGCTCCCTTCTTCGTTGCCTCTCTCCTCCCAGTGCAATGCAAGCGCTTGCTGACATGTCACACTTGCTTGTGGCGCTGAGGGTCTTGCGCATGACATGTCCAGTGCAGTTTCATGTCTGTTTGTGCCAGGGATTGCAAGTGTCGCGCCTCGCCTCGCATCGGCCGGCCGCACGTCTCGCTTCGCTCGTTTGCTCTCGGGGGGGGGACTGGTCGACCGTCACCCGTCGTTTGGGAGGGGCCGTCGTCTCGTTCTCTCGCTTCGCCTCGCCTCGTTCGAGTGATTGCATAGGAGTGTTTCGCGTGCTGACTGCCACACTTTGACAAACATGTTCTCCTGCAACCCTTGTCTGCTCCCGCCCCGCCCCCAACCGCCACGCTGTCAGGTGCCTTCCTCAAGCCAGAGACGCAGGGTATCGGGGAGCCGCAGCGCTCCTCTCGAGGTTGGGTCTCGCAGGTGTAAGAGCAACAATTAGTGTAGAGTGCCGCGCGCCCGCTCGCGCCATGACAACATACGATTTCACTTGCTTCAACGACTTGATTCGCGCTTGCTTCGACGCGGGCCTCGGGACTGAAGTCGTTGACTTGCTGAGCGACGAGCTCATTGAGAGCATCCACGACGCTGCGCAACGCATTGAATCGGTTTCTCCGAACCTAGCCGCACATATCACGGTTTTGATCGAGCATTCTGGCTACCATCCGAAGATGGCCGCGGTGCAGTTGGAACCGACCAAGCATCAGATGCTCGGCTCCCTCGCGGAGGCGCGCACGGGGACGCCGCGCGGCGAGGGTCAGGGCTCCGTGGCGCCAGCTCGCCATGACCTGCCGCAAATTCGCACCTCAGCAGGGGGGCTTCTGAGCCGTGCCATTGCCGCAGCCAAGCCGGCGAACGCACAGCATGCCCTACAGGATTTTCGCGACAACATCTACGCTCGCTCCGCACGGGCTCCTCTGGACGCGAGATGGACCACATGGTGCAAGATTTGCTCTGCTTGGCAACAAGAACCAGTCCCGCTGACTCCCGAGCTGATCGAGATGGTTGGTGCAAGCTTCCGCTTCGGGGGGTATCGCAGCTCCGCGCAATACTTCTCCAGAGCCCGCAAGGAACACATCCGGGTCACCGGGATGCCGGCACCGGCCGCCGTTGAGCTGGCGATTCGGGATGCCATCCGCTCCATCGAGAGAGGCATGGGGGCCAACGCGGCGAAGGACGCCTTCCGCCTCGATGCCCTGGACTTCGACTTCACCTCTAAGGGCGCGAGCTTCTCGCTGGCACATGGCATGGTGGTTTTAGGCTCTTGGTTCCTATGTCGGGAAATCGAGCTCGCCAACCTCCGCGCGAAGCACATGGCAGTGGACACCGCCGCCAAACAGGTCACGCTGACACTGGCCTCGAGCAAAACCGACACATGGTGCATCGCTACTGTGGTGTGGTTCCTGAGAACATCTGCCCTTACCACGCAGCGCTGCGCATCGCCGACGAGTGCTCCGTGGACCCAGAGGACTTTCTTTTCTCACCGACACCAGGCGTCCCGCTCAGCAAGCCCCAGACCATCGAGCTCATCCATGATGTTTTGCAGTTGGCCGGGTCAATCTCTCCAGACCAGGCGCCCCGGACGAGCCCGATGTGCAGCGCTTTGGGGGTCACTGCCTCAGGGTGTCAGGCGCACAACATCTGTGCCGCATGCGCCTACCGGTGTCGACCATCATGCTCCTTGGGAGATGGGGGAGCCCAGCAATTGAACGCTACGTTCAAGAAACCGAGCTCGAGGACCTCTTCCCGGTTGCACCGTCTGCGCCGCCTACGACGCCTGCGCGAAGCCAGGCCATCATGGACACTGCCAAGGAGCCAGACTTACGACAGTGGACCTTGGTGCAGCCGTCGGCCCAGGCACAGGAGCCGCCGGCCCAGGCAGCCAAGAAGCCCCGCACCACCGGCAGCGCCCAGGAGGATACGCAGATCTCCTCACTCTTGGGGACCCTCGACGGCATAGCGGAGAGGCTCGAGGCGATACAGGACCGACCTGACCTGGTCTGCAAGTCCAAGGCGCACGCTCGCGATCCTGAGGAGTCAGCACGCCCGCCAGTGCAATGGCGAGCAAAGTGTGGTTGGGCGTACGGTTACGCCAAGTTCACCAGAGCCCACGACGACGGCTCCAAAGAACTGTGCCGGAAGTGCTTTCCGGAGAGCTCTGCAGCCTCGACTGCCAAGATGGAGCATGCGCCGGCTCGGTCAAGACGAGTCCACCGACAGCGCCAGCTCGTCCTCGAGCTGAGGAGAGGAATCGCTACGCAGCGAATTTTGGAAAAGCGGCCTCGCACCGCTCGAGAGGGTTGTTCGAGTGAGAGCGGACACTTTGCAGCCGTTGACTTGCCACCCGCAGCCCTCTCTTTTTCTCTTAGCCCTTGCCCGCCCCGCCTGACCCATGGACCCTTCTTTGCAGGCGTTGTTCTCCTCCGCGGGCGCAGCCGAGAGCCTCCGGAAGTACATCACGAACATCGGTGTGACAACCACGGCCATCTTCGCCGAGCTCGGGGAGACGATTGAGGAATTTGACGAAGCAGTCGTCGCGCCGCTCCGCAAGCCTGTGGATCTGCACGACGGGACGGTTTTGGAACTGGCCGAGACAGAGTTCCCAGTGGCGCGCGCTCGCCTCCGACATGTGTGGAAGAAGTGTCGGGAAGCACACGCAACCGTGACGCCTGCAACGACGGCCACTACCACGACGACCTCCTCTTCCTCCTCGACCAAGACGAAGGAGCTGCCTCCCGGATACTGGCAGCAACAGATCAAGAAATACGAGGCAGTCCAGATCAAGGGCATCGCTAGGTGATTTCCCGAGACGCTACTCCTTGGCGCCGAGGCGACGCTTGCCAAGCTCATCGCCGACGCCAAGAACGGACAACACTGCTCGGTGCCGCTGGAAGAGATCGTGCAGCACCGCCATTTCAAGGCGTCGGGCGAGCCCAACAACCTCGCCTCCAAGAAGCGCTCTCGCACGCAGGAAGCGACGACTTTGGTCGTGAACGC